AGGAAGGTCAAGCTCGTCCAGGGTGCTGTCCTCAGCGCAGACTACCCTGTTCCCTCAGCTATTCAGAATGCGGTGCAGGCCAAGTACAGGAATGACCTCGAGAGTGGAAGCGAGGAATTTACCCATGTGCGGTGTGAGTTGACTTGCCTACTCACAACTACCATCGAACAGCGGCTGACAGCTCATAGACACCGCTGCCACCTGCGATCCTAACGACTTCACCCTCAAGAACGGTTACAATTTGCGCCCAGCCATGTACAATCGCCATACTGAACTCCTGATTGCCATCACCTATTACAACGAAGACAAGGTTCTGACCGCACGAACGCTACATGGTGTCATGCAGAACATTCGTGAGATCGTCAACCTCAAGAGATCCGAGTTTTGGAACAAAGGCGGTCCTGCCTGGCAAAAGATTGTTGTCTGTCTGGTCTTTGACGGTATCGACCCCTGCGACAAGGGCACTCTCGACCTCTTGGCGACCATCGGTATCTACCAAGACGGAATCATGAAGAAGGACATTGACGGCAACGAAACCACGGCGCATATCGTAAGACGTATCCGTCGAGTGTAGAATGCAGTCGACTAACACACTTACCTCCAGTTCGAATACACTACCCAACTCTCCGTCACTCCAAATCAGCAATTGATCCGTCCGCTCGACGACGGACCCAGCACTCTCCCTCCAGTACAGATGATGTTCTGCCTGAAGCAGAAGAACTCAAAGAAGATCAACTCGCATCGATGGCTTTTCACTGCATTTGGCCGCATTTTAAACCCGGAAATTTGCATCCTGCTCGATGCTGGTACCAAACCTGGCCATAAGTCGCTCCTCGCGCTTTGGGAGGCCTTCTATAATGACAAGGACTTGGGAGGAGCCTGTGGTGAAATCCATGCCATGTTGGGGAGAGGATGGAGGAATCTGATCAATCCTTTGGTCGCAGCTCAGAACTTCGAGTACAAGATCAGCAATATTCTGGATAAGCCGCTTGAGAGTTCGTTCGGTTATGTGAGCGTGTTGCCCGGTGCTTTCTCCGCTTACAGGTTCCGCGCAATCATGGGACGACCACTGGAACAATACTTCCACGGTGATCACACTCTCTCCAAAAAGCTAGGAAAGAAAGGTATCGAAGGCATGAACATTTTCAAGAAGAACATGTTCTTGGCCGAAGATCGTATTCTGTGCTTCGAATTGGTCGCGAAAGCTGGATCCAAATGGCACTTGACCTACGTCAAGTCTTCGAAGGCCGAAACAGACGTGCCCGAGGGTGCTCCAGAATTCATTGGCCAGCGTCGTCGTTGGTTGAACGGATCTTTCGCCGCCACCATCTACTCACTCATGCACTTCGGTCGTCTCTACAAGTCGGGTCATAACATCATTCGCATGTTCTTCTTCCACTTGCAAATGATCTACAACGTCTTCAGTGTCTTCCTCACCTGGTTCGCTCTTGGTAAGTGTCAACAATGTCGGTATTGGTAGATTGTCGCTGACACGAGGGTAGCATCCTACTGGCTTACCACCAGCGTCATCATGGATCTTGTTGGTTCACCTAACAACACGAATAACCAGCATGCTTTCCCCTTCGGCAACAAAGTCACCCCAATTATCAACACCATTTTGAAATACATTTATTTGGCCTTTATCTTGTTGCAATTCATCCTTGCACTTGGTAATCGACCAAAAGGGTGAGTCAAATAATCTGCGCAGCGGTCGTCTTTGATCTATGGCTGATATAGAAACTAGTTCCCGCGGCTCGTACATTGCTTCTTTCATAGTCTTCGGCGTTATTCAGGCATATGTGTCTGTTCTGGCGATCGAACTGGTGGTCAAGGCTGTCACGAACAAGGACTTTTCGCACATCGACACCGACTCACTTGCCCACTTCTTGCAGTCGACCAGTGTGGTCATCATCATCGCTTTGGCAGCCACTTACGGGCTCTACTTCTTCGCCTCATTCCTCTATCTGGATCCGTGGCATATGTTCACTTCCTTCCTTCAATATCTGATGTGCCAGAGTTCATACATCAACATTCTCAATGTGTATGCTTTCAGCAATTGGCACGATGTGTCTTGGGGCACAAAGGGAGCGGACAAAGCTGATGCGTTGCCATCGGTGCAGACCAAGAAGGAGAGTGACGGCAAGGCTACTGTAATCGAAGAAGTCGATTTGTCCCAGGCAGATATCGATTCGCAATTCGAAGCCACGGTGAAGCGCGCTCTGGCGCCGTATATCCCACCCAAGGAGGACGAGAAGAAGACGCTGGAGGATTCGTACAAATCCTTCCGTACCAGGCTAGTCACGCTGTGGATCTTCAGCAATGCTCTTCTGGCTCTTGGCATCACGAGCGAAAGTCTTGCTGTTTTCGGTGTCACATCAGCCGCATCCCAGCGTACGGCGAAGTACTTCGCGATATTGTTGTGGGCTGTGGCGGCTTTATCCAGCGTCCGCTTCATCGGATGTTTATGGTTCTTGGGCAGGTCTGGTCTCTTGTGCTGCTTCAACCGCAGATGATCACTCGTCAACTTACAGATCTCTGAATATATCTTGGGTGAAATTCTGCAAGGTGCATGTACTTGTTTAATGCGGGTCCTATTTTGGAGGATGAGGAGAAAGGTGGATTTAGGGAAAGGATCTGTTAGCAAGAGAAGAAGCTTCCAAGTCGCCAAATTGCAAGATGTTCACCATGACATGCACGTCTCTTTGTTGGGTTCGTGACACCATGTCAGTGGCGAATGGATCATTCCACCGGATCGGATTCACATGCAGTGCTAGGCAATCACATGTGTAAGCGGCACGGGGGGTTCCCGCCACGCCACTTCCTCTTTTACCTACTCATACACTTCACTTGCGCTCACCTTTCTGCATTCTCGTCCTAATTGAAATATGTCATTCACACACCCATTTGCACACAAGACTTCTGTCCGAATATCTGCGCAGCCTCACAGCTATCCCCACTCCTCTTATCTTCATTCACACTCTCAAGATCGTCCAGCGAGACGGTACGTCTTAATCCCAATCATCACATTAGTCATTGCATTGTCGGTTTGTGACTCGTGCTTTCAGTCACTGAGAGTTGAGCAATAACATTTTCACAGCCTCAATTCAATCATGCCACGCTATGCCCCTTTCACTGCTGACATACCCAATTCGCGGTACTTGATAATGGCTAAATTCCCACGGTCCACACCGCTTCCCTTGGTACACATTGCTGAGACTATCGATGGGACCATGTTCGGAGGTTCTACCATGTTTCGAGCGCCGACGCCAGCAAACCACCAGACTCAAGGAGCGGACGACTCTGAACGGGACCTCAACGATGATGACTATCCTCCGGCCACTGGGCGATGGGTACCAAGCCGGGGCATCATGAAATACCCAGCCCCTCACGTTCCGTATTCCCAAGGCGGACCAGTAGGTCGTCTCATGACGCGGTTGGCCGGCGACAAGATCGAGATCGCACTTTTCTTCGACCCAATGTACCTGTTTGAGGTTGAAAATGGCGTCGATCTCCCGAACCCGTTTGCAAACTTCATGAACGGACGTTTGGACGGGTTTGGTCAGATTGCACCTCATGGCCAATTTGCGCCGCAGCCACAGAGTGGTCACCAGTCTGATACTGGCCACAGACTACCACTTCGCCAGCGACGTGCTCGTGTGACACGCGCAAAGACCGACACTCGTAATGCCGGCAATGCTGTCAACCGGGGCCAGCAGCCTCAAACATCCGAAACTACTGGTGGGACCAATACTACCACAGCCGCGGCGACTCCTGGCAACACCAACGCAGCCTCCTCCACTCAGCCTGGAACCCGATCTCTGGGTCGCAATGCCAGACGTCGCCGTGCGCGCGAAAACAGAGAAGCCGCAGAAGTTGCGGAGGCGGCCGCTATCGACCAAGCTGCTGCTAATAAAGCTGAATTCCCTGACGGAGTGTCATGCGTTGAGCTTGACTGAAGAGCTTGTTCAGGGCGAGAGGAGATCAGTCTTGATATGCTTGCGACCTCGGGTGAAATCGTCATGGCCACAACGTGGAGGATAGATGGGACGTCTTTCGGATTGACAGGAAGGCGTCATGATTTGTGCCTCTGCGTCGAAATTGATAGCCCCCTAGTGTTTCTTTGCACGGTCAGAGCATGATGACAGTGGAGCATAGCATGGCACAGCATGGCATAGAACAGCATAGCGTATGAGCATAGATATTTGGAATCTGTTACCTTGGCTACCACTCGCTCGCTCCAGCTGCCGAAGACCCGGAACCGATAGAGGTGCGGCGACCTCCGAGCGCAATCAGACACCCGGTGATATGTGGCTGATCCGTGTGGGGAGCCAGCTCTTCTTAACAGTTGCTTTGTGCCTTGTGCTTTATGGCATAGACGGACACTCGTGGCACAGTGAGTTGCATCCGGCATTGTCAATAGGTCTGCCCACGAAGTGGTTGCTTTGTTTATACTGATACTGAATCCTGATTATGACCTATAGATCCAATAGCATTCCAATGGGTGTTTTGTGATTTTTTGGTATCACACGAAGACTTGCATGGCTGTCAGTCTGCTTCTCTCGAATGGCCGGTGGTGGCAGACCAAGTCCTCCATCACATAAGCGTGCGCGGGAGGACGGCTGCAGGGAGCGGCCCGGCAAAGACAGGGAAGTCTACATTTCAGCTCGAGAGCTGCAGCTCAGCAGTGCATATCAATAAAAAAGTGAAGAGAAGTATTCGCAGGCCTCAGTGGTGGTCGTAATAATGCTAACGAGTTATGGTAGCAATAATATCTCATGTTAGCAACCTACTCGAACAATGTGTCTCTCCTGACTTTGCAAGATACTGTTGCGCATGGACTAGCTGTCGGTTCTCTGGAGGTGTCATCGGCTTGATGCATTGTTGGTAGGACGCTTCATCAGCTCCATCAGAGTACTGGGGCACATAAAAAAAATGAAGAAATATATATGGAATAATATTGTGGGTCACCAATAATCGGTTGTACAACTCGAGACTATCGCGGTTGTGTAGTGTAGCGGTTATCACTCCGGATTCTGATTATTGTCACGACTTCCGGCAACCCCGGTTCGATTCCGGGCACGACCTAGCTTTTTGTATTTCTGCTGCGATCGCCTCGTAATCAGATGAGTCTGAGAATGATGAAATTCTTTTTGGTTCTCAATCATTTTACAGATACATATCGGCTTAGAAGGACATTGTCAAGTTTGTGACTTTAGTAGACAGGTTAAATTTCCAGGAATGTTTTCATGCTTAGAGACTTCTCCCTCCCCCACCTGCACAGGCATTTACTTCCGGTGGGGGCTTGTCAACCGCCACGGGTCACGAGTGGCTTTTGTCTTCATAGAAGATTTTGAATCGTCTCCGTTATTTCTCTAATCCGATCGATCATATTTCAAGTCTTAACCAATAACGATGCCACTCTTCAAGCCAGAAAACGTCAACACCCCGGTGTTGTCCCAGTTCTCACTCGGCGGCAAGATCGCTGCCGTGACAGGAGGAGCTCGCGGCATCGGCGTTGAAGTGGTGCGGGGTCTGGCAGAAGCTGGAGCAGACGTCGCTCTAATCTACACATCCAGCGCCAACGCACCCGACATTGCTGCCCAGATTGCAAAGGAAACTGGCGTCAGAGTAGAAGCCTTCAGATCAGATGTTGCAAACAGGAGCGAGATTGCAGCTACGATTAATCAAATCGCCGAAGAGTTTGGTCATGGTCGACTAGATATTGTCGTGGCCAATGCCGGTATTTGCGCCAATGTGCCTGCTCTCGAGTACACGGAAGAGACATGGCAGAAAAACAACTCAGTGAATCTGGACGGGGTCATGTGGACAGCTCAAGCTGCCGGTAAGATCTTCCAGAAGCAGGGCAAGGGCAACCTGATAGTCACTGCATCAGTGAGTGCCACTTTGGTCAACATCCCTCAGCTACAAGCTGCATACAATGCTTCTAAAGCAGCGGCGGTGCATCTGGCGAAATGTCTCGCCGTCGAGTGGGTGGACTTTGCGAGAGTCAACTGTATCTCTCCTGGATTCATCATGACCGAGAGTAAGTCGTACCTTAAAGCGTGATAGTCAAAAGGATCGATTGCTCAGACTACGCCAGTGCTCACGAAGCAACCCAAAGAACGTATGGACAAATGGATAAGTTTGATTCCAGGAAGGCGGATATGTGATGCCGCAGAACTCAAGAGCGTAAGTGGGTTCCAAATTGCTGATTTATGAAACGTAGACTAAAGGGGATTGCAGGCATTTGTCTTCCTCGCTGGCGATAGCTGCAGCTATATGACCGGAGCCGACATTATCATTGATGGCGGTTATACACTGCTATAGACAGTCTCAGAAGATAGGTCAGATAGGTGGAATGGATGAAAATCATAGTAGGAAGCTCCGTCCGTTCGCATTTGTGGTGGGTATGCAGTGGACTGTGCCAGTGCAGGCTGTTCTGTGTTTTGTACCACATGCATAACTTTTTATGCAGGCCGTACCCCAGAAACAACAATTTCGCCGCAAAGCCAGACATTTTAGGCTAATTAAATCAGGTAAGGTTCTAATGGTGAGTGACATGGGAGGCTTTCCCAGAAGACCAAACTTGGTTCTAGTTCACCACCTTTAAGTGCGCGCATGGTAGAAAACCAACCACCGTTCACTTGATGCTGTCCAGTCCACGAAGGTATGGCTACCTTACCAATTAACCTGGTCAACCAGACTGGCTCGAATAAAGCATTCGCCTATGTTACAGGCAGAGACTCGCAATCCGGGGCACCATTCTTGATCAAGGCGGACGGCTCTTCCATCTACTACCCGTCTTCGCCTTCAGGCACCGTTCAACCACTTACAGAAGACTGCGCAATTCCATTGGGCCCTAATGGAGATACGCGGACAATTAACATCCCTCAACTTAACGGCGGGCGTATCTGGTATTCTATTGACGAGCCACTGCAATTTTTTCTCAATCCTGGGCCCGCTGTGGTGGAGCCTTCAGTGACCAATCCAAGCGATGCAAATATCAACTTTCGCTGGGGATTCACTGAGGTCACGTATAATCCGGCGCAGCTTTTTGCGAACATTTCATATGTCGATTTCGTCTCCATACCTGCCGCCCTGACTCTGAGGAACAGAGATGGGGTAGAGCATAAAGTCGAGGGGACAGGACCTGGTGGGCTGAAGAGGATGGTGGAGGGCATCAAAGCTCAAAACGACAAGGACAACGCTGGATGGGACCAATTGATCTACAATGGACCACAAGGGTCGCCACTACGGGTGTTGAGCCCAAACGCCGGGCGAATGTTGCATCCTGGCCTGCTTGAGAATTACTTTGACTCGGCAATTGACGATGCATGGGAGAAGTACAGAAATGCCCCACTCCGGATCCACACTCAAGCCGCTCCTGGACTTGTCGAAGGCAAGGTGGATGGCGATAGACTGTGCTTTCCTAATTCATCATTCCCAAAGCCCTCGTCGCATGACGTGTGGAACAACTCGACGGGACCGTTCAACACTGGGGATTACGCCAATCCTCCAAACCACGAAGCTTTGGCCATAATACCTCGTCTTGCGGCAGCGATCAATCGCGGCACGATTCTTGCTGATGGGACGCATCCGGTGGATTTCGATGCCGATAGCTACTATAAGGATGGACCGGTGAATCACTACTCTCGGTAAGATGCCCGGTCAAGCCGCAGTGTCGATGTACTGACAAAAGACAAGTATCCTTCATGAGATCAATATTGATGGGAAGGGATATGCATTTCCTTACGACGACGTTTGCTCCTGTGAAGAAAAGAATGTGGCGGGGGTGGTGTTTGACGGGGCACCGGAATCGATGACTGTGACGATCGGAGGAGCTGAGTGAAGTGAGTTTGATATCTGTGCAGCAATAGTTGTTATGCCCAGTGAAGTTACGTACTGGCATGCCCTAGAAGGATCTCGAAGACAAATGCTACAAGGTAGCCTTTGGAAAAGTCAACAATGAATACGAAGTGGTACCTGAAATTGTTTCAGTGTTTGACGTAGTTGCGGCATGCCAACCATGCGCCAAGTCTGCAGCCGCAGGCGAGTCGGACGAATACCTATGCTTCTGTAGCGATGACTCCTTGGACTAGTGGTGTTGGCAGTGCACGGATCGGGGAAATGAAGCCTCTAACGCCCCATTGCTAAGGCCCCATCGGTTTGTTGGTGGCTAGCTTTGGCTAGCCGTTTCCCCGGTCGCTTGCGGCGAATTTCGGGGCCGACCCCTGCACAGAACCCCGAGGTGTCAAGGCAGCCATTTTCCGAGTCATCTACGAAATGACTCCAGGCTCCCGTTGTCAACACTCGGTGAACAATAGCGGAGTAAGGTCGGCTGTCGGTTTCAGGCATCCACCGTCAGCAACACTCGCTCGTAGTGCGCGAGTCTTGTATATATCCACTCGAGCATATCCGCAACCGGGACCCTAACCCCATGCAGTCGCTACAACCTTAATCATGACTTCGTCCGACGAGAAACGCGGCGACGATGCCCGGACCGCGCAGGTGCTCCACGACGTCGAGAAGGCCGCTGTACCTGGTGCTACTGTTCCCATCATTGACACTCCCGCCCCGGCGCACACTTCATCAGTCATCGACCTGGATGCCACTAATGCCACTACCAAGGAGAAGGATGGCAGTACAACTGAGAAAAAGCCCGACCCCTTCGCCCATCTTCCCGAGCACGAAGCCGCCATCTTGAGGAAACAACTTGATGTCCCGGATCTCGATGTCGGCTATTTCACCCTATATCGATATGCAGACAGGCAAGACCTGATCATCATCGCCATATCTACCTTGTGCGCCGTTGTAGGTGGCGCCCTCATGCCCTTGATGCTGGTCATCTTCGGTGCCCTATCTGGTACTTTCCAGAGCGCTTTCCAAGGCACGATCAGCTTGGATTCTTTCAATGACAAGATCTCTCACTTCACTCTCTACTATCTGTATATTGCTATCGGCATGTTTGTCATGCTCTTCGTTGCCAATGCTGGCTTCATGTGGACTGGTGAACGAATCACTGGCCGGACCAGACAAAACTTTTTGAGAGCCATCTTGCGCCAGAACATCGGCTTCTTCGACAAGCTTGGTGCTGGTGAAGTCACCACTCGTATCACATCCGACACCAATTTGATTCAGGCGGGTATCTCTGAGAAGGTGCCACTGCTCTTGCAGGGCCTGGCAACTTTCTTCGCCGCCTTCGTCATTGCTTTTGTGCGATACTGGAAACTGGCCCTGATTCTTTGCAGCACTATCGTCGCCATCGTCGTTTGCCTTACCCCAATTGGCAAGAAGGTCGGTGACTGGGCTAAAGTGGCAATAGGAGAGTACGGCAAGGGCGGCACCCTCGCCGAAGAGGTTCTCAGCTCCATTCGCAATGCCGCATCGTTCAATGCCCAGGACAAGTTGGCTCATCGCTATGATGCCTTCCTCGAAGCTGCCTATCGAGTTGGTGTCAAGCAGAAATCCGCACTGGGATTCCTTATCGGCCTCATGTATCTTTTCATTTACCTCAACTATGGTCTTTCTTTCTGGATGGGCTCGAGGTTTCTGGTCGATGGTCAGATGACCTTGCCGCAGGTCATCACGATCCAGATGGTTATCATCGTGGCAGCATTCTCACTTGGTAGTACTAGTCCCTCCGTGCAAGCCATGACAAGTGGAATCGCTGCAGCCAAGAAGGTGTTTAACACTATCGATCGTCAATCGCCACTGGATTCTGAGTCTGATGAAGGTGATAAACTGGACCATGTGGAAGGCATCATCGAACTTCGAAACATCCGACACATCTATCCCTCTCGGCCAGAGGTTGTTGTCATGGAGGACGTCTCGTTATCAGTCCCAGCGGGCAAAACAACGGCTTTGGTAGGTGCTTCTGGTTCTGGAAAAAGCACAATTGTTGGTCTGGTAGAGCGCTTCTATGACCCAGTCCAAGGTAAAGTCTTCCTTGATGGTGTTGATGTCTCCACTCTGAATTTGAGGTGGTTGCGACAGCAGATCGCACTGGTGAGCCAGGAACCTACCTTATTTGCTGCTACGATTTTCGAAAACATCGCTTATGGTCTACTTGGCACGTCACATGAGAG